CAAACCAGGGCCCTCTGGTGTCCCAAGCCAGTTCTTAACCATCGCACCACTTGGCTGGCCCTAATTAAGCATTCTTAAAACCAGTGTTTTGACCTCTGTTTCTGGTAGATTTCTTGTCTTCATTTTGTTTAGTTCTTCTACTGAGCTTTGTTTTGGTTCTTCATTTGGCACATGTTTCTTCATCTCCCCATTCTGGCTGACTCCTTGTTTTCGTTTTTATGTATTAGGTAGGGCTACTATGCCTCCTGGTTTCATAGAGTGGCCTTATGTATAGGTGTCCTATAGGGTCCAGTGGCACAGTCACCTTGAACATCTGAGCCAGGTGCTGCAAATGTGTGTCCCTTGTGTGGGTTGTGTTTGCCCTCCTATTGTAGTTGAGCCTTGGTTGAAGTTTGCATGTCAATGGGAGGGCTTGACCTTTAGGCTGATTAGTTGTGAGGACTGGTCCTGACTACAGTAGGGGAGCTGTTGTGTAGGGGTTGACCTTATGGAGCTTTAGCAGGGCTCTGGTGCCTGCCCAGTCTGCCCTCTGCATGTGCCATCCTTGGAGGCAGCTGTGTGATGCTCTGGCTCAGTCAGAATCTGGCCATTGGCTGTGTCAGGTCTGGGGCCTCTTGGACAGGGCCCAGCTGCAGGCCAAGTTCAGTTGCAGTCTTTGCCCTGCTCAGGGCCACCTGGCATGAGCCATAAAGCAATCCACAGATTGCCAGCACATGCACTGGGCTTGGAAGTGCCTGGAGAGTCCAAGCTGTAAACCGAGGCTTCCTGACACTATGTCAGATTTAGGGTTGCTCAGCAAGTGGTACAAGACACACAGAAGCAAGATGGTACTTGTTTGGGTCTTGTGAATCTTTGACAGATTATAAAAAATTCTGCAGTATGAACCAAGATAGGCCATTTATTAAGAAAAGCCACTGGAAGTGGGGTTAGGTGTGCCTGAAGGTTGAGTGGGGCAGGGTCTCAGGGAATCACCAGGGCGAGGAAAGTGAAAAGTGTTAGCTAAGTTGATGGAGACTCTAACGTGATTTCTGCCTGCAGCTGCATGCCAGGAGGGAGGAGGGCTCAACAATGAAACAATGGCTTTTGCCCAACTCCTTCTGGGAGAAATCTGCATCTCCAGCCCTTGTGCTGAAGCCAGACAACTCAGGTCCTTCCCATATGTCCCTGGCACCTTTCAAGCTGCTGCCCCAGCTCTGGAGCTCAGAACAAGTGAGTCCATCAGCAAGTAAAACCATGCCTGGGTCCTTTAAGAGTAGTCCCTGGGACTGCAGCTGCTCTTTTCTCACTCAGCCACAATCTCCACTGGTTTTTACAGCAAGAATTGTGGGGACTTCTCTCTCTGGCACTGGAACACTGGACTGAGGAGCCTGGTATGGGGTTGGGACAGCTCACTGCTAGGGGTTGGGATCTGCAAAGCCAAGGTATCTTCCCTGATTTTTAATGGTCACACACAAGAGTCTCTGCCCCTCCTACCAGCCTTGGGGTAACTTCTTCTCTATGGCCCTAGTTGTAGAGTTTTGGTTCAGCTAGACTACAGATATCCTTTATGATGATTGCTCTATAGTTTACTTGTAATTTTGA